TCTTATATTTTGTTTTATATGTTTAATTCTCACAATTGTATTTGTATAACACAGCATTAAACAGTCTTATTTCTTTACAAAATTTAAAATTTAGATACATAATAAATAGTAATGTATAAGTATATATATGAAACACAAAATTCAGAACTACAAGAAATTTAATTAAGTAATGATCTTTTTATATACATAATAGTGTCAAAAAAACCATAAATCAAAACTTATAAAAATATTACAAATTAGATGATTTACTTATTACATATTGTTGTGACCAAAATTGGTGTTAATTATCATGGGGGATAATAAATGGTAACACTAAGATGATTGTACAAGGATAAATAACTTATGTTTTTATTTGAAAAATAATATTTGAAAATGAATGATGAAGTACAAAGGATGAAAGGTAAAATTTGAATGAAGGCAAAAAAAGTATAAAAGAAGTGGTCATTAGAGACAGGGAACAGAAGTCTTAGTAGTTTCTTAGACTTCAGTTAATTAATAATTCCAGATAGTCTTGAACTGTTATATTATTAGATAGAAAAGTAAACTTCCTTTAGGGATGGTAAAATAGACACATAACCTGTGGTATTTCTGTTGTTAAATGATACTTTACTTTTAATAAATTTATCTTTTGTGTTGTGATATTGTGAAATATTGTTAAATATTATTTGATACTGTGTTAACACTTTTACTCCAACTTACTCACTGAGCCTTCAGATTGAAATAAAAAATTAAAAAGAATTAAAAAGAATTATACTATATTTATTATCAGTTTTGAGATAGGCAAGTTTAGATTGATGGATTGCTTGACTTACTGGTAGATAGAGTGTATTAAAAAAATTAGTTTGTGCGAGACAAACTCTGAGACTGATAGGTGAAATACTCTGCACATTTGTGACAATATTAATTATTGTCCTTTGCAAATCCCTTGATTTAACTAAGCCAATGACTACTTTTAGTTGCCAAAGTTCCATTCTAAATCACTCATTCAGCCACTCCCATTATAAACCACAACCAGACTGACCACCTCATCATTCAGCTCAAAGAGAAAGTAATATAAGGCAGAAATCTATCAAATTTCTTGGATGTAATTTAATTATTATTTTAAATTTTTTTATAAACTAAACTTTCATCACACATTCTTTGCTTTTACTAAGATGTTAATTGTGATGTCAATTACGATATGTGAGTAAATAAATAGGTAAATCAACAGTTAGATGATTAATTAAGCTAATGATTAATTCAAATAATATTTAAATAAGTTTAATATCATAAAATAATATCGATAACAAAAAAGAAAAAAAAAAACTTTTGAATTGTAGTGATTATTTATAACTGTCGAGTTATTGAGAATTTAAGAATTGATCATTTAAACACAATAAGATCAAAATATGATTCTAATTACAAATTATAATCGATTAATTGATTAGAATTTACTCACCGTCACCATAATCCAATGATAGAGCGTAAGGAATTTTATCAAAATCATTGTGAAGCAATTAATAGTCATTATATTGTTAGACTCTGTGTTTATAAAAACTTTGCAATCAGAAGTGAAACTTAAAAAGGAACAAACCCACAAAATTCAGTATTAGATTGCAAAGATTTTGGCTTAACCTATAGAACTAATGAAAATAGTAAGCGGAAAAAAACAGAATCTTATAAAGTCTTACTACCATTTAATATTAATGATCCCGCTTCCTATTATTGTCATAGTACTGATACATACAAATCATTGGTATACACAATTATTTGAGGGTGATAAAAATTGGTAAAATCACTTGTGATGGAATTTGGTCAAGTATCATTCATTGTGGAATCGAAGATAAAAATTATTATATATGTATAATACTATGAAGAAAACTTGGTGGATAAATGAAATATTAGATGATGGTATAATGGGGAAGAAACTTCCAGAGGCAGAGGAAATTTAAAAAGTAGTTTTTACGTTCAAATTTTCGGTAAAAACTATTATTATGCACATAAGTTAAAGACTTGACATTGGTTTATTTAAGAATTACATTATGGTGGAAAGATGGAACCTAAAACTATTAATGGTACTTGGACAAATTCTTATCGAATGATATTATTGGAAAATGTAAAAAATAAACCTTATAACTTTGCTTCATGTTATGTATCAAAAAGGACGAACTGAAATGAATGAAAGAAAACGGACAATTTTACATAGGGATATTTGCTTATAATTGTTATTGTTATTTTGTTTATTCATTTATTATCTATATTTACATTTTTAATTTCTCATGTATCATTAAAAGATAAAAAAAAAGTAAAAGAATTGTTTAATTTTATATGAATAAAATAAGTAGTTTTTTTTTTGTCACTTCATTTTTTTTATTATTTTTAACAAGTCTATATCATATCAACTCGGTCGATTAGCCCATCAATAGGAATACGTTACCTAGAGGAGAAGGAGAAATTACGGAAGAAATAAGGTCGTATGATAAATCATGCATGTAAATTTTTCATGCCTTTTTACAGTACATAACGAAAATTTAGTGCAAATTCGAGCGAATGCAAAAAAAAATATAACATTTTCACAAATAAATGTAATATTTATATTTTGTAATTGAACCTTATAGCTATTTGATAAAAGTTATACATATCATATCGAAACCAATAATAATGTGTTTCCACTTCCTAAATGTCAGTTATTGTTCTTCAATAAATCTTTTTTTATTGTTGGAATTGTAGTCTGTTAGGTCTCAGATTATGCAAATAACTTAAGCCTCTTCCAGTTCTTTCTGATTTGCATGCGTTTACCTATTGATTGCTTACTTTCGTCAGGAAATTTAATTAGGCGATAATTTTCACTAATTTTCACCACCTGCGAAAATTTATGCAAGTTTTTTGTTCGTTTTTTCGAATTCACTCGCGGTTTGCAAGGCACAGAGAGATTTTTTCTAAAGTATTTCCAAGATAGAAAGGACATTCTTGTTAGTTGCTACAAAATGGTAAGTTGCTCATTCCTGTAGCATCAATATTCGACAAGATAACACACTAATTTTTGCACAATTTTTCACAAATATTTTTTTTAAACATTTCTATCGCCGCGAATATCGATACTACAGGAATGAAACACGTATCAATTTGTAGCTAAAAATAAGCTCGTTCTATCTATCTTAGAAATGTCTTAGTAGAAAGTCTCTCTGTGTCTCGTAAAGTGCGAGTGAAGTCGAAAAACGAAAAAGACGCTCAAAAAACTTACGCAAATTTCGCAGGTGGTAAAAATTAGAGTAAATTTTCTCTTAATAAAATTTTATAATTCTATTATCACTCAAGAGAATCTCCTGGTTAAAATTAGCGATACGATATCTTATTTTAAAATAAAATACTCTTTTTTTCCTTTTTTCCGCTATTTTCACTATCTACTATAAAGTGATTATAATTTTAAAAAAAAGTATAAAAGGAAGCGTGCATAGCAGGGGCTCTGCATTTTTTACTGAGAGAGGCACCTCAGGCTCCTTTTTACTGAGAGAGACAACTCAGACTCTCTATTTTTTGGGCAGAGCGAGATAGCTCTGACTCCTATTATTTGGGCAGAGTGGATAACTCTGATTCTCTCTATTATGGAGGGAGATACTCCAACAGTAGATGTATGAGTATTCCTTAAATATGATAAATTATAGAAATTTTTAAAAATTATGGGATTCATTTCTCCCATATATGGTGATGTTTGCTATGCATGTGATTTACGCAGCACATCAATATTTCGATTTTTCCTCGTTGGATCTTCGATATAATTATTTGGTTGTCTTAAAGATTTTCGTGGATAAATACATCGAATGAAAATTAACTAAATCTCCTGAAGCGAATAATTCAAACTCACCTCACATTTATTCTTATTAATTTTGACTATAAGACTTAATGATGGTGAAAATTCATTATTCGTACTTCCTTGCCATGAAATTTACTAACATTCATCGTGGTACCAATGATTTTATCATCATGTGTCAATCCATATTCTTCAATAAATTTGGATTGGAATTTTTACAATCCGGATAAATTTATTAACTGATCGAAATATTAGGAGTTGAGATTGCTCCATTATCCTGTGTGATTATGATGATTCTAATTGTTGTAATGAATGTTTAGAAAAATGAATATTCAGTGACAATTATAATATTTATTATTTGCATTTTACTGGATTTTCTATATTATGATCCAGAGACAATTAGTAAATTTAATAAAAATACTGTAAATAAACATATTATAAATTGTATAACCATATTGATATGATTCGGTTATTTTTAATTTCCTCCGAGAACGACCAATTTTGTTTTATTTTCTATTAAACATAAAATAATAAAATAAATATGGGTTTATATAAAGAATGAGATTGACATAATAAATGTATATGTACCAAAGTATGTGGTGCCAGCCATGTAACTCAAAGCATTTCCTTAGTATTTCTAAATCGTAAAATATACAATGCAAACTAAAATTCAAGCTCATAAATGATTCTGAACCTGAATGTTTATTCTATTATATTAAATAATTACAAGAGAAACTCAAAGTAACGAAACAAAATATAAAAAATATCTTAACTACTATGTTAATATCAATAAAATAATTTGTTAATATTTTCAAGTTAAATTAAAAGATTATTTTTTAATTAACTTTAATGTTAAATTAGTTTTAACTAATTAATTTAATATTGATTTTAATTTTAACGAGAAAATCAATATAATATTTTAATAAATTTAAAAATTTATAAAAGAATGTTAATCTTTATTACATAGTATCTTTAATATTTTCAATGTAAAATAATAAATAATTCAATGAACACAATTCAGCATTCAATACTATAAACAAATATAATTTCTTATTTGGTTTTATTTTTATTATTTTTAAAATATTATTTGGATTATTTGGCTTATTATTCTATATCAAATTGAACTCCATATACATCAATAACTTAAAATGTCATCATTTAATGTAAATAGTCGTGATTGAAGTTTTACAATAATCTTTTTATTTCTTCCTCATCCTTTACGATACCACCCTTCAAAAAATTTTCTTAAACTTTCAGATCTAAACATTCCCATTCTAATTTCAATAGATTCAAGTGATTCTGGTACACTTTCGGCCATTTTACATAATAAATTATTAGCATCCAATCCTTTTTCATAACCAAATGAAAATCTCCTTAATTCTTTAAAATTATTATTAAATATTATTATTTGTTCGAGACTTAAATCTAGCAAATTTAATTCGGTAATCTTTGTGCAATAATTCAAGATAGTTGAAAATATATCGGATGGAATTGTGAGAAATAAATCTAGACAATTATTTTTTAAATTTGTATTGGCCGTTTCGAGAATTTTTATGATAAATTCTTGAGAATGCGCATTTAATGAAAAAATCGAATAAATATAATGAAAACTAAATGATGAAGCAAAGAATAACTATCCGATTTATAAAGTAAACAATATTCAATATGAAGTTTTTTAAATTAAGTAAATTGTCCAATTGGTGATGATTTCTCCTCGAAATGATAAAAATCTACTGATTTTAAACGAAGACTCTATAAGGTTTCTTTTTTACTGACGATAACCCATAATAATGAATTAGAATTTAAATTACTATTACCAATAATTGATAGATTTTCTAATCGTTTTTGAACACTAAAAAGTTTTTCTAATAATTGCACATGAGATTCTGACTTAAATACCAAATCTATATTTAAAATTTTATTACAAATTAATACTAATGATTCATATAATGGTCTAGTTAGTTCATCATTTGTTGTTGCCGAAACAATTTCTTAAATACTTTCGAAGCTCCAGGTAACTTGATAATTGAACCAATCAGATCATTATAATTTAGATCGTGAGAATAATTTTCGGGAACTTCCGTCATTTCAAAATAATCAACAATTTATTATTAATTTACATATCTCAGTAAATAATATTCTCGATTCGGTGGTGATGACGATTTCTTCATTATTATTATAGCTATTACCTTGACTTAAATCAAAATATTCGGAATTAAAATTAGCCAAATTATCAATTCTAAATTTATGAGTGAATGATGGATAATCAAAAGTAGCTTGAGGCGGTGATGATGATAAATCAAATCCATTTCGTGTAAGTAAAATTCTGGCTTGAGTATCCATACATGATACATAAGTTCGAATACATAACGCTTTTTTTCCTCAAATTATCCCAATTAAATTCTTGATCCAAAACTAATTCCCAAAGTATAGTTATAGTAAATTTACACCAGAATCGATTAAATAATAATGATGAATATAAATCTTTAATTGATTTTAACATTATTTAATATTATAATCAATAATTCTGTTGAAATTTTAGTTGCAATTTTTTCTTCCTCAGAAATAAAAAGAAAATTTTTTAAAAAAATAATCGTTTCACATTTAAATATTTATGTGTCAGTGCGTAACTACTCTGCTTTGATGTGATGGCTGCACAACATATTCAACATACAATAACAGAATCAGTAATTATAATAATTATAAGATAATGAGAGTTTTGTGTTACGCGGTCATAATGTAAACTGGCTTCCTTTTATATAATTCCTGTTATGATTAGTGGTGTTGCTTTGTTGTTCGTATTTATTAACATATTTGAAGAGAAAACTTATTTTTCACGCCAAGCTGGCTATTATTTTTTTTTTAGAATTAGTTTTTATATTAACGATCTAAGGAAAAGGTTGCAGATAATTTTATTTTTTCTTTGAAAACTGCAAATCTGAAAAATTATATTTTAAATAGATCGATGAAGGATTTTAATTATGTCATTGCTGAAATTAGAGTCGGTTTTTAGTTGAGCTATATATTTAAATGGAAATTATAATGTGAATACGTACTGAGAAAAGAGGCTTTTGCATGGTTAATATAGAGTATCCTAAACCAATTCGTTCTGATGAATTTATAAGTAAAACAAAATGTATCTTTATTTTTGAATAAGTTGGACATGCAAAATTCTAAATAATTTTAGCATAAATTCACTTAAATGTTTGACATATTAATTATTTATTGCACAAAGTTATTTTTCTTAAAAGTGAAGATTTCCAATTTTACAATTAAAAATTAAAGTTGATATTTACATAAAATATCACTTTATTTAGTTTAATTTATCAGAATTTCATATAAAAATATTAAAAGAATAAAAATGCGGAAAAAAAAGGTGATTAAATGATTTTTTTTTTTTTTTTTTTTTTTTTTTTATATCCAACGGAGTCTTGCTCCAATAAACTTTATTAATAGATTAAGTGT